AAGCGTTTGACATAGTTAAAAAAAAGTGACAGAATTTAATAATTTAGATGGCAGGGGCATACAAGGGTTAAAGAATGAGAGACCGCGACATCGGGTACTTCGGGATCACGAATGGGTAGGGGAGGTAGAGGAAAGAGCTGTGCAAGGGGAGTGAAGAGGAAGAGAATGGGAATTCGAGGAAGCGGTAAGCTGAAGGCCGCAGTGCATATGTGCAGATCACCAAATCTCAGTAAAAGCAATGCATGGCCCATGGTGCGACTGGCGCTACAAGCAGAGCAGCCTCGGAACTTTTTCAAACGTGAATTGTATTACAAATTGTTCCTTGATATTCTACTTTCCCGTATGTCCATCGCTCAACCTCAGTCACCCTGTGTTCTGCTTTTTGGAAGCACATGCTCGCACACGTGTGATCTGAACCCCTTGGACGTTGCACGTATGTGTCCTTCTCGTGCCATGACGCCTTGACGTGACTCTACCGCGATCCCACCACCGCTCACCCTCTGCCACCTCGCTACGGACCCGCCATTCCATTACTCCCACACCCGCCCGAGCATCCTCCTAATCACTCCCCCCATGCCCCTCATCTCACCGTCGCCGCCCACCGTTGCCTACGCTACGCACCTGGTGTTGTCGAGCTCTTCCTGGGCACGGCACTTCTCATTCTGCAGCATCCGCTCGCACTCCACCTTGTGCTCGCCTAGCCGCGCCTGCATCGCCACTAGTTCTGCCTGAGACAGCTCCGCACGCTCATGCTGTTGCTCCAGAGAATTGGCTGTCAAAAGGGACACAAAACCACGGTGATGAAGACAGTATAGCCACCAACGGCAGCAGGTGGAGAAAGAGTAGCAGCAGCGGGAGTAGTATCAGAAACTAGTCAGTGCTAAGAGGGATTAGGTCCCTCAGACCTATTCACCAGCTTGCATTCAAACGGGGTCCAAAATAATAATATATGTGAAGTACCGGTGAAGACACTTGACGCCGAGGTGGAGGCACACGGATATTTATTCAACACAACTCGTATGTGACATACAGTACTGGAGGGGGTATCGGCCCCCTCACCCGACTAGCTCAAGGATACACTTCCTGGCTAAGTCCTAGCCTACCTCACAGTCCTCCACTACTGGGCTAGGGGAGGCTACTTGGCCCGACACTGGTAAGTCGGGCCGGTACCCGGAGTCCCAGACCAGCTCTTAGAAGAGCACCGGCTCTGGCTTTCGGGACCACGCCGCTGGCTCGATCCTGTTCGGCCCTGACAAGGACATCGAACGAGGGAGTCCAGGGCTCTATCTAAGACGTCTTCAGTCTTCTTAGTTAACTATAACATAACTAACTCCCGAGCCCATATAACGTCCCCTTTTATACCCAACCCTCCTTGAGGGGTGGGGCCCCGGGGGATCATAACGCCAAACCAGCCCCCCCCAGGGTGTCTGGCTCGGACGTCGCAGAGGGCATCTCCCTGTGCACACACGTAGCCCCGCCCACTGTGTTTTCTTTCCCATAGACTGCCATACATAACGGCCCTCTCTCTAACATCCCTACATCACTCCCCCCTACATAGCTCGCAGCCGTCCCGGCTGCCAACATACAGAATGACAATAAAGATGAATTTTTACCGTAACCGCGCGTGTGCCTCACTAATTATCAACAATAACAAGAACGGTAACAAGAACACAAAAAAAATGCAACAGCAAGAAGAAAAAAAACAACCCGACGCACCCCCCCTTGAATAAATACGAATTCCGTAAGAACAAGCTATATACAATTTGCAGCGAAGCCACCATACACACAACAGCAGGTGAGCACAACGTATGTAAATTCAATGGGCAGGGAACACACCCCCCCCACACAACACACAATGAACACAACATATATACACATCTTGCGGTTTCACAACAGTCTGCGCATTTTTGCGCGTGTCCTTGCGGCGGGCCCCTCACACGGGGAAAACCCCGGGTGGCGGACCGTCAGGTGGTAATCGTCCGTCCCGGAGTGAGACCTCCTCTGATGCCGCGTGACTGTTGGTATCCCCAGAAGGGGTGGTCGGGCGTGAGCCGTCAGTCTCGATGCACCTGGAGGTGGCACGGCCGGCAAGGCATTAGGTGAGCGCGGTGGGAGACGGACCTAGTGAGTCGGTCGACCCCCCACACGTCTGGCCACGCATGTGTGAAGTGGGTTTGCGTACCGCGACGAAGGGTTTCAACCGAGAGGGGTGCACGAACCATCGCCGCTTCCCCCAACGAATGCGCACGCACTGTGGTCGCAAGACCTCGACCACTTCCACAGGGCCCCGCCACGGCCGCGCCAGCTTAGGGGAGGTAGCCAGGGGCACTTGGGGACAGTGCAACCATGCCCTGTCCCCCGGTTTCCACTGTATTACATGCGCCCGACCCAGCCTGAGGCGCTCGTTCGCCTTTTGACGTTGGTCCGAGTTCAACCTCGCAGCATCCCGCGCCTCTGTTAATTTAGCCAGATTAAATTTGACGTGGTCAGCCAATTTAGTTTTTCCTTGCGGGTCGGGGATCTGCAGCTGGGCGCGAACAGGCGGGTCGGGTTCGCGACCGTACATAAGGTAAAAGGGGGAAAATCCCGTAGCTGCATGGGGGTGCCATCCGGTATGCCGCCAAGACCCCCTGAATATGCAGGTCCCAATCAGTCTGTGAATCTGAGACCTGCTGTGCCATCATTGACGAAATGGTGCGATGCAGGCGCTCGACCATTCCGTCAGTCTGTGGGTGATACGGGGAGGTCCGAATTTTCTTTGTGCCTAAGAGGTCACAGACTTGTTTAAGTAATTTGCTGGAAAAATTTTTACCCTGGTCGGTCAGCAGCCGTTCCGGAGCACCTTTGTCCAGGACGTATCCTTGAACAAAGGCGTCCACGATGGCTGCTGCCGACTGGTTGGCAAGGGGCCAGGCCATGGGCCAGCGCGTAAAATACTCGACCCCTGTCAGCAAATACCTATTGCCCCTGGGGGTGGCGGGAAATGGGCCCAAGATGTCCAGCGCGACAAGCTCATTTATTCTGGACACCTTGATTGATTGTAAAGGCGGGTTAGACTCCCGTGCCGGCGGTTTCCGTTGCGCACACCGCGGGCATGAACTCAAAAGATCCCCCACATCCTTTGTCATACCAGGCCAAAAAAATCTAGTTGTATCAGTGCAAGGGTCTTTAGAGTCCCCAGATGTAACAGGCGCTCATGCGCGGCCCACACCACTTTGCCTCGCAACTCAGAAGGGACGACCAGCCGATGTCGCTGTGATTTGCCGTCCCAATGCATGAGCAGACCCTGTACCATTTCCCATGCACCCGAATCACCTTTCACCCGCCCAGCACCCCCGACGCGACGACGCCACCCGAGGAGGGAGGTATCCTCCATTTGGAGGCGCCCCCACTCAGTGACGGGCAACCCCAACAGGGAATCCCTTCCCTGTTGTTCGATCGAATTATCAGGCAGTGGTTCGTCGTCGTCGGTGGCTGCCAGGATCGGAACCGATGCGTCCCCTGAAGGTCTGCAACGTCCCGACCCCAGGAGGCATGCACATTCCGAGGTGGTTGGCATGCGTGACAGAGCGTCCGCGTTGGTATGGCGAACGCCCTTACGGTAAGTGGTCTCAAAATCAAAATCCTGGAGAACCTCCAACCATCGAGACAACTGTCCCGATGGTTGTTGAACCCGCAGGGCATACTGTAGTGCCGCATGATCTGTGCGGACGGTGAAATGCCGACCGTACAGATATGGGCGATACTGTTGGATGAAAAAAACAATTGCCAACAGTTCTCTACGGGTGACACAATATCTCTGCTCCGCAGGAGACAACACCCGACTACCGTACGCGACCACCCGTTCAACGCCATCAACCACCTGGGAAAGCACACCCCCAATACCCGTGTTGCTCGCATCGGTGTCGAGCAAAAAGGGCTTCGAAAAATCAGGGTAAATCAAGGGAGGGGCTTTCACCAGGGCGTCCCGAAGGGAGCGGAAGGCAGCCTCCTCCTCTTGACCCCAGTGGAACCGAACCCCTTTAGATGTTAAAGCGTGCAGGGGTTTAGCAATTGTTGCAAAATCAGCAACAAACCGTCGATAATACGACGCGAACCCAATGAAACTCCTGACCTCTCCCACCGAGGTGGGAGTCGGCCAGGAGCTGACACACTGCGTTTTGGCGGGATCGGTAGCAATACCTGAGCGTCCCACGATGTGCCCCAAATAACGCACCGAATCACGCAACAAATGGCATTTTTGGGGCTTGAATTTCAAATTAGCAGCCCGCATCTTTAGGAAAACCGCCCGCAACCTCTGGAGATGTTCATCAAAAGTTTTACCAAAGACGATAACGTCATCCAAATAAATGAGGCACGACTCCCATTGCAGTCCAGCCAAAACCAATTCCATTAAACGCTGGAAAGTTGCCGGCGCTGAGTGTAAGCCCATCGGCAACCGGTTGAATTGAAACAAGCCGTGCGGTGTACGAAAAGCAGTTTTAGGCTTTGACTCATCATCCAGAGGAAGCTGCCAGAATCCCGAAAGTAAATCGAGTGTGGAAAAGAATCGCGCTCCCACCAAGGCGTCAAGCGATTCATCCATCCGAGGGAGCGGGTATGCGTCGGCAACCGAAATTTTATTAAGACGCCGGAAGTCAACGCAAAACCGCAACGAACCGTCCTGCTTTTTAACCAGGACGATCGGCGCTCCCCAAGGGCTGGTGGAAGGAGAAATGATGTCTGCGGCCAACATGTCATCAACAGCCGATTTGACATGGTCCTTTTCGGCGGGACTCAACCGAAACGGATTTTTGGCGAATTGGCGCGCTGTCACCCGTGTCAATATGGTGACGCAGCAAGTGAGTGCAACCCAAATCATATTTATTTCGACTAAAAACGTCGGAAAATTCTCGCAGTAGTGTTTTAAGTTGTTGACGCTCTGAATCGGACAGGTCCGTCGATCCCGCACAAAGCGCCTCGAGCCACCCTTCATCGCTGTCCGAATGCGGTTGCGACGCAGGGACAGTGTTGACGCGATTTACGGCGGGTTCCTCACACGGCACCGGCGTTGCGTGAGCAAGCACGGTCCCCTGTGGGACCACCACCGTCCGCGAGCCCACATTTAGGACCGCGATGAAGGGTTCACCATTCCCTCTCACTATGGTCTGGGCCGGAAGTAAGTCAGGTCCACTAACCCCGGCCCTAGACGGTCCCAACAGTACCCCTTGTGCCCCAGCACCCTTAACGAGGGGCCGCCGAAGTTTCAAGGGTACCAACATTTGCGTCCCCGGAGGGACGCGTACCGTTCTCTCCACGAACGCCGGCACCGTCGCGAACGCCGTCCGCGTCGCAACTGGTGATGGCAGAAACGCCATGCGTCTGCCCGACGGAAGCTCTATGCAACCCTGGTCGATCAAAATTACAATCGGCATTTTGGCCAGGAGTCCGTCCCCAGCAGGCACGGAACCGCCAGCGAGGAAGAAACAAAAATCGGCCCAGACAATTTTATTTCCCCGATACAAATTTGGGCACGAATTTGTCCGATGATGCCAAGTGAGCCCCCGTTAGCCGCATAGAATGGTATGTTAACTGGCATCAAGGGACGACTCCGGACAGGGAGAATATTATAAATTAATTCCGAAATAATAGTCGCCGATGCTCCCATATCGACCAGGATGCGCACTTCAACCCCGTCGATATACCCCACAACGGCCGACGACCCCGACGATGCGGCAACCACACGATCGGCCAGCACGGACCACTGGCCGGGTTCGATATGGGTACCCGGAGTGGTGCGTGATGGTGCGATGGTGCGTGATACCGGCCCCCCTCTCGTCGCGGTGTTTGAGTGCGTGACGGGTGTGTGTGTGGGCCAAACGTGTGGGGTGCCGCGACTCGCCGGTTTTTGATGGTGGAGCTTGGGATGAGGCCCGTCGTCCCGGTGAGGTGTCGTCCCGCGCTGACGAGGAGAGCGGCACCCCGAGGCGACGTGGCCCCGGACGCCGCAGTTAAAACACCGTGGGAGCGGCGTCGGAGGTGACGAATGGTCGGAACGGCCCGACCCGTCCTGGCCCGGCCGTGCACTCGTCGCCTGTTGCCGTCGGTGGTCGACGGCGTAGAGTTCCTCCGTCGGAAGGGTGGCTGCAGCCACCGCACGCCCCGCCGATGCCCTGCTGGCTTTCCGCCGGAGCGACAGGAGGTTTGCGTGGAGGAGCCGCGCCGCCTGGAGCGATGTCATTTCCGCGTCCTCCTGTGCGACGACAGCGATGTCAAGGTCGTCAGCCAGGAGGAGTATTTTCTCCGTCACCATAGCGTCGATGCCGTCGTCATCCATACGGGGGAAGGCCGACTTGGCCATTGCCAGGAGGCTCGTTCGGTACGCCAGGGGCGACTCCTTTTCACCCCGCTTGCGGTCGTAGAACTCCTGTCTGCATTCCGCCGATGGTCCGTAGACCCCTCCCAGCAGCTGCAGCGCCATCGGTAACGTCGCCCGCCTCTCTTTAGGTGCCGATGTGAGGGCTGCGAGCGCGTCGCTGTCGAGGAGCGCCGGCAGCGCGCAGAGAGCCTCCTCGTCTGTCCACCTCGCCATCTCTTGATGGGCGAGGAATCGCCTGCGGAACCCGGCCCAGTCCCCCTCCGCGCCGACGAACTCTTTCAGCGGGGGCAGCCTCTGATGGAGTGCAGCGGTCGTTGTTGATTCCCGCGGGCGGATGTCACCTCCACTTGGCTGTGCGTTGGTACGAGCGGCCGATGGAATCGCCTGTCGCGGTGGTGATGACGTCGTGGCTTCAGCGACGGCGATGCCGGAGTGGATGTTTAGGCTGGCCACGCCCCGAACAGCTGCAGCGTCGATGGCGGGAGATTCAAACTCGGGCTGCTCCGAAATGGCGGGAAGGCGCCCTGGTCGTTGGGCCGTCTCGCCCCGTGCTGAATCACCGGCCCCCAGCCGCGTGATGGACTCCAGCGTGGCGGCAGCGGCGTATAACAGCTCCGCCAGCCTCCCGTGAGCCAGCCGCAACGCGTCTGACTGTGATCCTCCTTCACTCGGATGCCCCGGTGAGGAGACATCAGGCTCCGGCTGCACTGTGGCTTGTGTAGCCGTCCCGGGCGTTTCGATCTCGGCAGTATCTTCTTCTTGCGGTACTATGGCCCGCGTTGTCTTCCGCGTGTCCATGTTCGAGTTTTACTTCTGACACCAGTTGAAGTACCGGTGAAGACACTTGACGCCGAGGTGGAGGCACACGGATATTTATTCAACACAACTCGTATGTGACATACAGTACTGGAGGGGGTATCGGCCCCCTCACCCGACTAGCTCAAGGATACACTTCCTGGCTAAGTCCTAGCCTACCTCACAGTCCTCCACTACTGGGCTAGGGGAGGCTACTTGGCCCGACACTGGTAAGTCGGGCCGGTACCCGGAGTCCCAGACCAGCTCTTAGAAGAGCACCGGCTCTGGCTTTCGGGACCACGCCGCTGGCTCGATCCTGTTCGGCCCTGACAAGGACATCGAACGAGGGAGTCCAGGGCTCTATCTAAGACGTCTTCAGTCTTCTTAGTTAACTATAACATAACTAACTCCCGAGCCCATATAACGTCCCCTTTTATACCCAACCCTCCTTGAGGGGTGGGGCCCCGGGGGATCATAACGCCAAACCAGCCCCCCCCAGGGTGTCTGGCTCGGACGTCGCAGAGGGCATCTCCCTGTGCACACACGTAGCCCCGCCCACTGTGTTTCTTTCCCATAGACTGCCATACATAACGGCCCTCTCTCTAACATCCCTACATATGCACGGGAAGGACTTAGCTAGAGAGCATTTAGTAAACCCAGTGCAGTCTTACCATGTTAACGGAAGTGGTCCACATGTGAAATGTTGCTAGGACTTAGACTCGTTTAAACTCGTAAAAATAAGTTATTGTTGCATAGTGGTCTACAAAAATTAGTGTTCAATGGGTCCGTGGATTTATAAAGATTGGGAGCACAGGCCCCTACCCACCGGTCTCCTCGAAGCATGCGTTGGTCTCCTGCAGCCGTTGCTGCAACTCCAGTGCTTCATCCCGCAGGGTGTCCACCTCAGTTTGCTGCACCTCTTGGTTGGCAGAGAGGTCACGCATGGTCACACTCAGCTCCGCGGCTTCGGCGCCCAGCCGCTCGGCTTCAATGCCACGCTCTCGTGCCACTTCCTGTGCCACCACCAGGTCGGCCTCAGAGCGCCGCAGCAGCTCGTCACGCTCCTTCAGCTCCTGCCGGCGGAGGACGGGCAGTATCTATATTACACTTAATTACATGTAATTTGAATACATTCATTATCCTTTTCATCGCTCACCCAAAATATTGAGAAAATTAAGTGGGCTTGGGCAGGACTCATTGCTCGAGGGGATGACGGATGGTGGAGAATAATAGCACAGTGTCAGCGATGGAATCTGATTGTGTGCAGGTACTAAGTGGATTGTTATCATTGCAAGATCGGGAGAGGTTGTGGTGGTGGCTTAAGGGAGGCCTTCATCCAGCAATGGATGAACATTGGCCAACTATGAAAAGAGCTCCAAGGGATTGTGGCTTATCAAGTATTTTCCAGGACACCAATCAATGGCCCCCGAATGACAAGAGAACTCGAGTGTGGGTAGGGGGGGAGGGTAGGGGGGTGGCTGTTGCGAGAGTGGAGGCCTCACCTTCTGCAGGACTGCGATGTGCACGACGTGAGCGTCGTACTCTGAGTCGGCGTGCGTGTGCGATGCACGATATTCGGCCAGCTCCATGCGTGCCAGATTCAGAGTCTTCTCGTGCTCATGTCTCAGCTGCTCCTGAAGCCGCTCAGTCCTAAGCGTGAACTCTGCCAGCTCCGTTGACGCCGTTGACGCGGCTTTGGCGTCGTGCACGGAACGCTCCTCGGCCTCCCGCTCACCCCGCCGCGCTGCCTCCAACTCCGCCTGCAGGCTGTTGATGGCCTGCGAGTGCGCCCGTAGCTGCTCACGGACAGATGGGCACAGTGGCACAGGCACGTGTATGCATAGGTGGGCAGCCCCTCATCATAGACACGTGCAGCGTGCAGATGAGGACAGGTAGAGACATACTGACACGCAGTATGTAGTTGTACGGAGAAATAGAGACAGAGACACGGGCAGGAGGCACACGAAAAGAATAGAGAAATGACAAAGATGCAGAGACATATACACACAAAGACACAAGCAAGTCACATGTAAAAATTTGGACACATGTACAGAAAGTCACAGTGCATACTGTATGGAGAGACATGTATATAGCCACAGGCAAAACATGTACAGGGAGACAACGTAAGCATGCAGAGACACGGGGATCGAGTACAGACGCACATGTGCCCATATAGGTGGCACGCATGCAGATGGATGCGCACACATGCAAATGGATGCTTTTCAAGATGAAAAGAGAAGAAGTTTAGATTATATTGTGAACAATACGACCACGGGTAAATACCCATGGTCGTAATCAACATACCACAATGAGGTTTAAAGAGAATATAAAATATATTCGAATAATAAAATAAATTCCAAAAATATAAGCATGATATATCAACCATTTGTAAGCATGCATACAACATGGAAATGCTCTTCATCGTAAGATTATGAATAAATTCCGAGCACCCAAATGATCATCTTCAAATGGAGTCAATATTCAGAACAACTCACAATGCCATGTCGGTCATGGGGATGTGTTTTACTATACTTCCCCATGCTGGTCAGCCCCATACAGGTGTATTAATCAGTAAAACATACATGCATATTCTGTGGAGAGATGCTATGATACAAAAATTGTGTTTGATCTGCTTTTTTCATTTTCAACAGTATTAGGATTCAAATTTAGCCAAATTAAGTACAGAACCAAAATATTTTTCGTTGGGTTTTTTTGTGCACTCATTCGTGACCAGGCTGAGATCACCAACTCATGACGCTTGGGAACCCGGTTAAATCACTGTGGTTGGGCGGCTGTAATCTGGATTTGATCCTGGAATCTCAGCAGTGCCGGCACAGCATCTCTGACCCCTGGGGCACCCAGCCACCTCCCAGAATGCACTTATTTAATGGGCCATTTTCTTGGCATTCAGATCACACTCTGAATAAAACCTCAACACATTCATCAAAAACGATGCACTCAATAGGGCAGAACATCGAAAAGGCGACGTTTCAGGCAATGGTCCTTTACAGCAATATCCATTGCAGTCTTATTGACGAATATGTTGAGGTTTTGTTATCCCTGCTTGTGCGCCACGGAGCTTCACGAGAACACGTTTAATTTTAGCCGCGCTCCGTGCAACAAGGGGACGGGGAGGGGGGTTTGGCGGCAGCCAGGGTACCTCCTCAGAACGGTGGATCTCGAGTTGGTGCAGCATCTCGTGGAGGCTCTTATCTTTCTGGCTCAGGGCGCCACGCAGGGTGTTAAAGTGCGCTCGTGCCCTGCCCAGGTTGGCCCGCAGGTTCGACACCTCCTGAGACAGCTGGTGCATTTCGTTCTCCGGCATTGGCAACTGCGACGGGAGCAAGGGCACATGGCATGGGCACGTTAGCTCCTCCCAGTGTAAATCCTGCCTTCATTCGCATCGTGACGGACGCCATTTGACACGGATGGTGGAAAAAACACCATGGCACATGACAAGTGAAGTGCCTCATACGCAGGTAGACACACATCGGACAGATACGCTGACACCCACACACCCACGCAAGACAACACGATTCCTCACACAGCCTAAACACCGTGGTAGAACGCGCAGCAGCGTTGGTCTCAGAAACTCATCCACCGCCATCTCTGTTTACATTCGCTCAGCCAATGAGAGTGACGAACGCTCTGGGACAACCAGCAACAAACCCCCGCGATTCAATAATGACGATGTATGGTCACGAGTACATTAAAAAAATCGATAATTTTGTCAATGTTGTTACAATCTTTGTTATTCAGTATTATCACAGTACGCTCTGAGCCACGCACCGCTCGCCAGTTTTTAAAAGACACCCTGGTCCGCCGACGTGTTTGCTCTTCCTTGGTCTCTCTTTGCCTTGTTTTCATATTTTAGTGAGCATGTTAGCCCCAAAATGTCTGGAAAGAGGCCTGTAAATGTGTTAGTGCTGGAAATGAGACCAACAGGTCAAGGAAAAGTATCACTTAGAATGGTAACATGCAAGTGATAATGCCGGTCGAGGTGGGTGAGCATCAGGCGAGTACATTACATAATACTTATTGATAATAAAAAAATGTATATTTGTTTTGATACAATGTTTACCATCTGATTTATTACTGTAATTAAATTGCGCTGATACTGACACCCCAATGAAGCCCTCAATTATTGTTCCTGAGAGACAACGCTGTTGGGAAAGCATCCCCATATGTACAATGGTATAATAACCCTTTAAGCGCTTATTCGATGAATGCCTTTATTATGATGAATGCTCACTTCTCCATCTACGCATCTTCAGCGCAAAGCGAGGACTGCCTGTATTAATTCCATACAGGTTTGCAGCGGTGGCCTCCACTCCAGCCTCGCTTTGACTCCGCTCTCTTGCCAAGTACAACTCTGCCATCAAAACGCACCTCCACTGTTGACAAATTCAGTGTCTCCTGTGTGGCTTTCAACTGTGGTATGCTGAAGGATCTCATTGATGCTCTTGCCGACCCAGAGAAATAAACACAGGCCACCTCGCAGCGACAAGAAGTCCATGCGGTAATGACGTAACAATTAATCACGTAGGCATTGCGCTACCAGTATTATTCATAATAAAGGTTTTTGGGTTAGATCGCGTTATTATAATTGTGTCGCAACCCTCCACCACCCGACACGTCCAATCAGTAGAAAATGTGTCACGTTAACAAAACGCCAATTAGTTACTTCTTCAGCCCACCGGTGTGTTTGAAGAGTGAATCCACAACATTTAGCATTTGAGTACGACGTTTCGCTGGTAATTACATCCAGCATCTTCGGGCGATTTGCCAGAATAGTGAAGCCACCCACCTGCTTCCCGTCTTAAACAGTGCAGGATGACGTCATCATCGTTGAATCCCATCAGGTTTTGAGATCAGAGGCGGAGGTGTGGGGGGGTATTGTAATTGTATAATAAATTAGCAATCATATTCTTTGGGTCGGCATCCTTTTTAAATCCTTTATATTAAGTTCGCTTGTTTGCTTGCGTGCTCGCGTGCTTGCTTGCTTAAGACCGCGCAAATCTTTCGGTCGTTTTTTAACCCACTTCCCGTGATCCAATCGAGCTGACATTTTGCACACAGACTCGTTGTGCGAGACAATTAATGTTCGTGAACATTTTTTTCAAAAATTTTACACTGTTTAGTGAAAACAAATTAAATATTTAATTACCAATTGCTTAATACTGGCAGACAATCATCTGACCCATAGGTGGCAGCCATCTCAAGCGAGAGGACTCTAGCCGCCACGCATATAAAGGATTTATAGTGAAAAATTTTGTTTTTACGAGTTATACTTGTTAAATCCTTTATATTAAGTTCGCTTGCTTGCTTGCTTGCGTGCTTGCTTACTTACGACCGTGCAAACCTTTCGGTCGTTTTTTAACCCACTTCCCGTGATCCAATCGAGCTGACATTTTGCACACAGACTCGTTGTGCGAGACAATTAATGTTCGTGAAAAAATTTTTTTCCAAAATTTTACACTGTTTAGGGAAAACAAATTAAATATTTAATTACCAATTGTTTAATACTGCAGACAATCATCTGACCCATAGGTGGCAGCCATCTCAAGCCAGAGGACGAGAGGACTCGAGCCGCCACGCATATAAAGGATTTAGAGTGAAAAACTTTGTTTTTACGGGTTATACTTATTCCTGATGCCGACCGCTTGTGTTGTGATCGAAACGTCGTAGGTTTTTTGTTACTTTTTCTTATTTTCTTTGAAGATATCTACGTGACTTTATCAAAAGACCCAAAGAATATGAATTCTTGCAGTCACGAAAGCTTTAAGGGGCCGTCCATAAATGACGTCACGCACATCGGGAGGGGGGCGGGGGGATTGAGAAATGTGACGTCACATCATTCACTCTTCAAACACACCCGTGGGCTGAAGAAGTAACTAATTGGCGTTTTGTTAACGTGACACATTTTTTACTGATTGGCCGTGTCGGGTGGTGGAGGGTTGCGACACATTTATAATAACGCGATCTCACCCAAAAACCGATATGAATGACGTAACAGACATTACAGTGGTGACGTCATTGGCTCCACCCTATGTGGGCGGAGCCAACCCTATATGGGCGGAGTCTACGGCTCGTCCTTATCGCGTCACCAAATACCACGTGACCCCCAGGCACAGCTGCTGGACAACGGCAGTTGGTCCGAGATGCTGTCACCATGGCAACGCAAACAAGGACCACCTTGCCCAGAGAAAGCTCCTTCCGACTAAAATCCTTGATGAAACTCTCAATCTGGGATATTAAACTATGAACCTCCTTACGTACGTATCGAACATTCAATTTTAAAGTTAAAATTAAAAAAAAATCGATATATTTTTTCTCGATATGATCACGGTATTTAATTCGTATAACTCCGATCGATGCCGCTGAAAGGCAAGAGGTGGCGCCACTCACCTCCACTGTTGACGAATTCGAAGTCTCCAGCGTCGCTTGCAACTGCTGCGCTCTCTTGAAGAACCTCATAGTTCCTGTTGGGGGCGCAAGAGATAGAAGCAGCCGCTCAGCTCGCTCGCCCTGTCGGAGGGACGTCAAAGCCGGAGGTGACGCCATTGGCCCCGCCTACTGTGGGCGGAGCCAGAGCCGTGAACCCCGCCCCCTCAGACACCCAATGGGGGCAGAGGAAGCTCCCTGCGACTTGAGACTCGGAGCCTCCTCGCCACGTGTCGAGAGTTCAATGTCGCAGTGAAATTCACTCACGAGGCGACTGTCTCTGGTCTTGGTGTGCTCCTTTGACTGTCGGTGTTTTGCCGTCTTGCCCAAGATTGGATATGATGTTGACAAATCTACAGGAAGGTATGTGCTGCAGTTTGTTTTTGCACTACATATTTATTTGTGACTTGATGACATTTTCTCAATCCTTACTCAAGTATCCTTTCATCTTCTTGGTTCTTTCGGTAAAGTCACGTAGAAGGGAGATAATAAAATAATAAAACATAATAAAATAATACAATTCTCACAGTGAGAATGTGTGATAAATAAAACATAATAAAATAATACAATTCTCACAGTGAGAATTGTATTATTTTATTATCTCCCTTCTACGTGACTTTACCGAAAGAACCAAGAAGATGAATCCCTGCAGTCACGAAAGCTTCAAATCGAAATTCAAGTATCCTTTGTTACATTTTGTTGTTGATGCAACCGGCGTGTGTGAAAGAGGACGTCAAGCTCATGAGATCCCTCTGGGATAAATACGCGCACGCGTGTAGGTAGATGTAGCAGACACGAATACTTGACGATAATTCCAGATGTATGAAGTATTTTATTCAATGTTTTGTCACAAATCAAACATCGAGCATAAGCAACAAATATAACACTCCTGAGACGGGCACCTCCCTTACTGACCTCACCTCGTCCTCACCCCTCGCCTCATCCTCCTCACCCCTCTGCTCGTTTTCTTCACTCCTCACTTCGTCCTCCTCACCCCTCACCTCATCCTCCTATCCTGTAAGTAGCAGACACGTACAATCTGTTTTTTTTTCATATAAAAATGTCATTTTGTGTCTCTGCCTGTCTGTGAGTGTTGACGCGCTTGCGAGGGATTTGGCTCTCAAACGGTGGGGTTCTCGTAAACAATAATTAGCCAGGTACCACGCCGGAAGCCCCGTGCTTGGCATAGGCGATTCCCTTTTCACGCCCGTCACCTTAAAATTAGTTCAGTTAGCGTCGTTTGCCGATTTTTCTTTATTTTAAGAGAAAGTTTCGCGATTATTTATTGATTTCGCTTCGCCGCGCGCGGGCTGACAACGCAGCCAGCTGCACTTGCGCACAACGCGCACGAGGTGACCCCCCAGCAGCAATCCGCACGCGCCGTCGCCAAAGGTCAGGCGCACACTTTTGTATTATGTGCATTTATACAAGACGTAAGTCGCACACAATAGTACTATAAGCATGAGTGTACACTTGGCACTGATCACATGGGTTGCCCCTAGCAACGCGCACACGATCGGCACGAATTTTAATTTGCCTTAAACATGCAGCAAAAACACACGGAACACGTAAATTATTCACAGTGCGATGTCCTCTTCACCCCACACCACCCCAATGATACCCCAATGCGCCCTGAAACTACTATAGAGCCCCTACATATTATTCTTCTAGCGCTTACATGCCATTATTGTAGCGCGGCCGGAGGGAGCGGCCCAGCCCCCAGCCTGCCAAGGTCACACCTCCGCGGACTGGGAAATCTAGGCGAGGCCGGGGCTCTGCACGGGACTAGGCCTCACTACGGCACTCTGTCTGCTTACTACTTTGTGCTATAGATTCGATATATACTGCTATACAGTCAGCATGTACTACTGTAGTGCTAGCAGGTAACCACCACAGTAACTATACACTGCTGTAATCATAGCAGGTACCACCACAGTCAGTATACACAGCTGTAATCATAGCAGGTACCACTACAGTCACTATGCACTGCTGTAATAATAGCAGGTACCACCACTGTCGCTTGCCCAGCTGTAATCATAGCAGGTTACACCACAGTATGCACTGCTGTAGTTAAAGCAGCTACCACCACTGTATGCACTGCTGTAATCATACCAGCTACCACCACAGTCAGTATCACTGCTGTAATCATAGCAGGTACCTTGTGGATTGACAGATGCACAGATGAATATGATAGCTGATGAATGAATGAGTTTACAGGTGGACAGCAAATGAATGAACAAGATTCTTTATCGCCATTGAAAAAAAACTAACATTGTAATCAATCACCCTATACGCCTGCTGAACCAACGTATCCTACAACAGCATACGAGTGTGTTTCATACATTACCTGGGTGTTTGTTTCTTATGTATGATCGGTATGCGTTCTACGCACGATCCATATGTGATATCAAACAACATATTTGCCGGCTTTCCGAATGATCTGCACGTGGTTCACGCATGATCTCTATGTTTCACACGTGTTCTGTGTGGGTGGCCGGGACCATCCTCGGCCGCCTTTGTCACTCGAGTTGCGATGTGTTCATTGCACCAGATACTCATTTAAAGCCGACCTCTTGAGATCCAGGACCGGTTCAGATTATCGCCACTGGTGATGGTGGCCGTAAGCGGGAATCGGGTCATTGGATTCATCATAGTGCAGCTTTATAAACCCACACACTCACAGACAGGACTGCAATTCATCCACCTCGCGCATCTGTGCCAGGAACTTCCAATCGTGGAGCGACGCACGAATTAAGAGGCGCGAATGAAGAGACCCGACTTCCCATCGGGACATGATGGCTGGCAGGCGGTTGAAGCTATCCCGCAGGAAGCGAGCGCAGGTAACGCTCACCTGAGCGTCGCGAGGCATGCCCCGGAGGTGGTATCACGTGGGACGATGCATGTGCGTCCACGTCATAGCCCTTTCACGAATCCGTTGCTGTATGGGGACCTCCTCACCGCCACGACCTAGTGGATCGTTGACCATACTTCATGCTGGTCGGTGCGGGTTGGTTGCAGGCGTGGAAAGCGGGGCACTATGCAAGGGTTCATGTTGCTGTACTGCCCGTTTGCTGACCACGTGGCCCTTGCGAGGTTCATTCAGCGAGTGCGCAATCGCCGAGCCATGCGACAGCGCCCCCGGTTTGCCACGTGCAGCTCTCGTAGACGATGACAACAAACACGCACCCTGCTCTACGAAGCCTGACAGTGGTCATGATGATGGCGGTGGTCGTGGTTCGTGTGGTACCTCCCCATCAGATTAACAAAAACTTAACATTTTTTTATTTTACCCGGTAAAGCTCAATGAGCTATATAGGTGTTTCTCAGAAGCTACCTGGCAATCACAAATGATAGCTCAACGAAGTGGCTTATCACGTGGATATGTATTGCAGCCTCGATATCACAGCCAAATACAAACCCTCTGCGGGTAACCATGAGCCCGGGCAGCAGGGGATGAAGTGGGCAGATGGTCAGGGGCCAAGGAGCAAGGGGAGGATGGAGAAGGGCAGCGGGGAGTGGGTCAGTGGCGCGGAATGTTCGAGTGATGGAAATGTTGACTGATCTTTATTGAATACAACTAAAACAATTTACAAGTGTGCAATCATCGATATGATGTTGATTATAATGTTTAACGATAATTATATTGAGATTAGGATATGCAGGATATAGTGATGATAATGCTAATGTCTTTACGCATGGTGATGGTAGGGAACTATCAATCTGGTGATGGCTGGGGAAGTTGAAGATGGTGATGATAGTGCTCCTGCTAAGTAGTGGTACTTTAGATGATGATTACGATGCTGCGACTATTGCTGTAGCTGCTGAAATAATAATGATGCTGCATCTGCTGCTGACAATGATGATGCCCCTCTCCACCCACCTTCGTCCACCCCCACAGGTTCCGAGGAGGAGCGCCGCGTGGTGGTGTAAGCACTCAGCCTGCTGAAGCGCGGGAGTGCAGAGAGGCGACCCCACGAGGTGGAGACAGGAGGGACAGGGTCCTCCTGGGGGGACAAAGCGAGCGGCGTCCTGGCGGGGTCGAGAGGGCAGGAGACGCAGCGGATATTGGCAGGGTTCTGGATGTACGCTCCATTGTAAACTCCGATGAGCACCTGATTGTATCCCCCGACGGGGACCCTATTGGGGCCCCAATGGGCAGGGACCCGGGTGGGGACCCACTACCCCCCGAGGTGACAGTGCCAGTTCTTGAGGAGACTGCGCTGGGCTGGGAATTATCGGCCGAGGTGCGCGTGGCGAAAACAAGCACGTGACACCGCGTGAGCGTGCGGGCCACGAGGCCACTTACACGGGCGCCAACCTGGGCGGGTTTGAAGAGGAGGAGGCCCATCCTGGAGCTGGGACCGCACGATGGTGAGACGGAAGGATGGAGATGGGGAGGGAGAGAATGAGGGCAATTATATGAGTATTATAGTTAAGTGCACATGTGTGCATGCGTGTTTATGTACCGTCCCGGCCTTCATAGATCCTTGCTAACTGCACTTGCCCCAACAGTTTGTTTGAAGGCTCTTACGAGGGAATGTTTGTCTTTGTTGTCCGGCACAGAGCGGTGCGTGCTGGTGCGCGTGCCCGCGAGCGAGTACCTGCACCTGGCCGTGGACCACTTCGCACTCGTGCTGGTGGCGTGTGCGCGCGTGCTCGACATGGTCGCCGAGATCGCGCGCGTGCACGTGACCCGTGTGCGCTCCCCACGCTTGCACGTGAGTGGCACATTACAACAGCATCAACAATAACAACAGCAGCAACAACTATACGTCTCAAAATTTATTTTGGGTATCATAAATCCTCCTCCACCCGACACAGTGGTGCGATGGTAGGTGGTGGTGTGTTTATGATGGCATGATGATGGTATAATGTTAGATGATGCTGTGATGTTAGATGTATTTTGAACTTATTTCGCAATGTACGTAGACACCAGTGCTTAACGGAGGTGTTTATGCGATGGCATGATGGTTTAATGATGGTGTGATGATGATGGCATGATAATGGTGTGGTGGTAATTGATGGTGTGATGATGAAAATGCGATGTTAA